ATTCTGTTTTTGAAACAGCTCCTCTTAAACCAGCATATTTAGAGCTAACATATTTGATTTCGCATTAGAGCAGCCAGAAATAAGACTACTCAAACAGGAACAATTCCTAGACAGAACTCTAAACTAAGAACTAGGAAGCAATTTAAGAAATGGTTCCCTTTGCTGCTCATTTTAGTTGATACCTCACAGCTAAGGCTACCTGTGCCGTAATTTGGACATGAAAACACAGAATTCAAAAACTCAGTAGGAGCAAGTGCTGGAGCCAGGCTGGACTGAATGTGCATTGACAAAGGCTGTAGGAATTACCTGTGTCCCTCTTCCACTTGCAAAGAATCAGTGAAAAGCTGACACGTCTTATCTGTATTCTCCATACCCTCCTCAAGAAAGGGGCACAAAAGCCACCTTCAACATCATCCATTACATTATTTCATTATGGAAAAGGAATTTTCCACAGATAAGTCACTTGAAGCAATGTTGTAATACTGCTGAGCAGCTTTCAGCTGCAGAACACTGTTGTGTTATCACAGCCTGTACTGTTGTGTTACATTGACAGCAAAATAAGTGGTTATTTAAGATACCTTTTACTTTGAAACTAAACTATTTTAAATTGATGACATTTAGGAAATGGTCCTGACAGAAAGTATTGCTTTTACAAAGGTAAGAATGGAAGATCAAAACCAAAATGAGTTTTGAAGTCTGACAAATTGTCTTTGGTTCTTTGGCCTTCATCAACACTTTTGGAAATTTTGTATAAATTTGACAACATGCTGGCACATTAAACTTTCAGGTTGTTTGAGGATTTTTGAGTTGTTGTTCTTTTAGGGTTTTGATGTGGTTTTGTTTTGTTTTGTTTTTTTAGCGGGGGGACATTGGGGGTTTGGGGATTTTGTGGATTTTGTGTTTTTGTTGTTTGTTTGTTTGTTTGTTTTTTAATGGAAAAACCATTGCTGTCAATGCAGGAAAAGCAAAGTCATTTCACTACATACATACTTAGTGTATTGTGGCATGTTCAGAGTTCTCCCATTTCTCCCTGCTAACCATGATCTGTATCCAAAAAGCTGCAAAACCAGTTATGTTCACAATATTTGCTTTCTACTATTGACTGAAAGCTGAAGGACACAAAAACCCTGAGTTTCTTACACAAATCTCACCAGCAATTTTTTTTAAACTCTGGGAAAAAGATGTCAAAGGCATCTGCTGAAATGAAAACTCACAGTTTCTGTAGAAAGGTTCAATTTAGAACTTCTTAAATCTCTGTATGTGATTTGAAATTGGCAACTGCTGACACATAATTTTAGGGAAGAATATACAGAGTGCAAAAATGGGTTTGTTCAATAAGGTCTGTATTCAGAAGATGAAAAGAAAACCAACAAAAAACCCCACCTTTCATCCTGTGGTCTGTGTTAGTTGCCAAATAAAATTATTTTATACAAACAATGGCAAGGAGATGTTAAAGGTTAGAATTATGTTCTGATTAAACTGACAATTAAGCATGCAAAGCAGACACCTGTGGGGAGGACTGTAAATGGCTGTCTAATGTGATAATGTTTCTGAAAGACTTACACTTTGGTTTAGGTTGAGACTAGTAATATAAGCATTAATAGGCTAAATTCAGCAGGGGAGAAGCCATTTTGTCGGTAAGGCCTGTGCTGACACTTACCTGTGGTTTAATTATACAGTGACACTCTGGATCTGCAGATACTGCTTAAACTCCCAAATGCAGGTTAAGGGGCAAAATAATAATGTTGTGAATATGGAACAAGTGAGATAAGCTCACTATAAACTGCAAGGAACTGAAAAATATCATTGTTCTTATGTTAATATGGAAGATGGCTCTCTGGCTTTTATCTTCCTGATTTTTACAAAGACTTGGTTTATTTGTGATGCTTTTAAACTCAATATGTTATGTAAATGTACTCCAATTACTGTTTTCATACAAAAGGAAACACATTTCATTCTTTAGGCAACTACTGAACCTGCTAGTCACTCAAACCCACAATTAAAAATGGCATGATACCAAAAAGCTACTGTTGTATGTGTGCTACCTGCAGTCTAGATACAGCCAGATATCTAGTCTTTTTAAGAAAGTAGACTGATAGATGGCAGAAATGGTTGAATTCTGAATACTGCTATGAAATTCATACACAAAAGAAATGCTAATTACATTGCTAGATAATTGGGTCATGAGATCTGTAGTAGGCTGGAGTGGGGAGATGGTGACTGAAGTACTACAGGCTATGTGGTTGAATGTCCCAGCTCCTAATGAAATGGGGAATTACACAAAACTATTGCTGTAAATGAAGTAATTGAAAACAACAAAAAGGTTCTAGTTAATACATTTATTGTTATTTCAGTAATAATAACTGAACTACTTCTGTTTCAGTACATAAAGGCATAGACCTTTTTAATCAAAATGTATGAGGACACTTATTTAACATGATTCTTCCAACTCTAATTCAGCTTAAAATATCTGCATCTAGAGTGAAGCCTGGTGAAACAGCCAATGCTGCTCATTCATATGACAGGCACTTCATTTTTCTCACTGACTTAGAGAAAAAATACTGGTCTAATTTAATGACTTCTAATCTTTCTTCTTTAGTTGATGCTCATCCTAGCCTGTCTGAAAAGGACTGCTATTTTGTGGCTGGAAGAAAAGGAGAATACTTTGTATACATTGATGATTATTTACTGTTTGAAAAAATTGCCTCTCTTCAGAGCCCTCCTTACTGATCCGGACTGGGAGTATTTTTATCACTCAGAAGTGGAGTGGTAGGTGTAAACCAAACAAAGCTGAGAGAAGCACTTGCCTTCTTGTAGAGCTTGGGCAGAGCCAGGCTCCCTAGGCTGCCCTCACAAGAACTGTCTGCTGGGTATAAAACCTGTGGCACTAGATAGAAAACACCAAAGTCAAAAGCATGCCTGAAGCACTTGCCCCGTGCATGGTGTCCTGTCCACATGTGTCACGATCCGTGACCTATTATATCTCCTTGTTGGAGTGCATTAACTTATCAGGATTTGCTGAGAGATCCACACGTGGGTATCGCCTCACACAGAGGAGACAGGGACTTATGCCCTGACTTTTTCGAGTGAATAACTTGCTCAGTGCTTACTAGTATTTCTAAAGAAATGCACGGTTTATTGTGGGGAAAACAAAGCAATTTGGGGCAGGAGGTTCAAAAGGAGTGATTACAACACATTAAACATATATGAGTACACCTTAGTTACACATCTTATTTAAGTGAGGGAAGGAGAGGGGAGGGATATGCCCGAATGGCTGGATTATACTTTCCCCTATAAGCTGGGGTAGCCGGAATTGTCTCACCACGCGGCAGTGCAGGTAGGATGAGCTGGGTAGCAAAGAGGCTGCGGGCATTCCAAGTGCAGGTCGCCCCCCCCCCACCCCCGTAGCTGCGGCACGGCTGTTTGCCGACCCTGGAAACGCGGCGGTTTCAGCGGCGCTGGGACTTTTGGC